CATTCTTGGTATCCTAAGGTAGGCAGTTCTTCTCTGTTTAACTTGACCCAAATGAATAGTCAGTGACTGTATGGTTTGGTGCCGTATCTCAATTTGACCATCTCCAACTCTTCTACGAAGTGGTCTGGATTTGTGCTGTAGAGAGACATCCTACTGGAATATGCCACACACCTCTCAGTTACATAAATCGATGTAACTTCATAATGGCATGGAGTAACTCTCCCGTCATTAAGTTTCATTCTTACTCATCATGTTAGCAAATCTAAGATGAACAGTTGAAGACATCTTCTGATCTCTGCTTCTCTCCTACATAAACAGTCATTTCGTATTTTTAAAATATATGTTAGCCCGAAGAAGATAGTTCTCTGATTAAAATTGTAAGAGACGTTCACCGGCGTTAGTTCGTTGCCGTGAGAACTCACGGAACCCTCCAGTATACTTTATGAACGACCTTAACTTCCATACTTCTAAGATTTAAGATGACTTCATCTGTGTTTTGCTTTTAGTAACATATTAGACAGTCTTTTAATAAAACCTGCTTTTTTTATTTCGTCGCGACAGAAATTAATCAGTATGTAGAAGAAGGTTATGGAAAGGCGTTGAAGGGTCTCATGACCTTTCGTTATTCCTATGGATGCATTCATCTTGGCGGCTTGTGGACGACTGTTAAATAAGATCCAGTTGAGTAACTGTCGAGCTCAACACTGTAACTACACAAAAAGAAATACAGAAATCATTCAAAACATCACTTCAGATGCCAGAGTATCGGGCAGTATGGTCTCTTATCGTCTTTTGAACAGTTAAAAGTTTGAAGGATAAGGAATAAGTCTAAGTTTAGTCACTAAATAGCCAATCCAATGTAAACCTGATATCATGACCATTCATTAAGAATTGAGAAACAGCAAAAGAGAACTTGTGACCTTTGTATCATGCAGACTGAATTATACATTTCCACTAATCTTTACACAGACTAGTTAAAGAAACAGATGTATGCTGTGCACATTAGTAATATAAATTTATTTTGTCAATTATTTCGACAACTGATCGGATTATTCAAGCTTAGGTAACATAATCTACCATGAAGCTTAATGTTCAGTGTACATTTTTAACTTTTATGTTTATCTCTACACTGCAATGGCTAGTTAATGTATGGTTTAAAAGTATCTAGCGTCAGAATTACCTCACTGGCTGAAGATATTCCTAAAGCCTAGTTGTTAAAAATATTGACGAGAAAAAAAAATAAACTCAGGGAATATCAGGTGGTTTTAATGCTACACCTGACCCAGTTAGGAAATAAACAAGGTCAGTGTTATGTACTGGTCGAGAATTTAATAGTCCTGACGCAAGAAAGACGGAAATCAGAAGACCACTAGGTTTGCGATGATGCTTCTATTTTCCAAAACACCAGGAGAATCAATATCACACAAGTGTGTGAGAGCAAAAATATGAGAATGTCCGAACAAGTGTGTGAGAGAATATTCAAAATGAACAAATCAATAGACAGTCTTAACATGATTGGCTAATTATAATGGAATATCGATCCATGTATACATAGTAAAATATAACCGACTGTCAAACAAACACACATATTATATGGATACATATCACCAAGATCAGACTGTCAAACAAAACACACATTATATGGATACATATCAGTCAGTTGGCCATGCTAAACTGTAAAATAAAACGAAAACAAGATGTTATTTATGGGACACTCTAATAAATACTTAGACTTTAATTCATCCCATCCAGAATCGGTAAAGATAGGTTTAGTTAAATGTCTTTATAAACGGACCTAGAGCCTAACTAGTTGGCCAAAAGACTTAAATAACAAAAACAAACAAATAAAGGAAGCATTGTTAGAGAGCAACTATCCACCAGAATTTATTCAGAAATATATGAAGAACCGTAGAAAAAAAACTAATATAAATAATGAAAATACCATAAATAGTGAGGAAATCAAAGCCTCTATAGTACTGCCTTATGAAGAAGAAACACCCGAGACCCTACATAGGATTCTTATTGAGGCTGGAATTAGGGTGGTATTTAAATTAACCAACTTTCCCAGAGATAAACTCTGTCGACCTAAGGAACCACTAGATCCAAATAAGAAAAAATGATATAATTTACCAAATACTATGTAGTGACTATGAGGTCAGTTTAGTTAAAACTAGAATGACTGGTCCGGATAAGCTGAATAATCCCATGAAATCTCATAATTCCATATACATATATATATATAATTTTATTTTTTTATTTTTTGATTACAGCTTGATCCCACACAGTACTTTTTGCTAGAAGTATGGAATTTTCAGCATGGACATCGGTAGCCCAAGTTATGCAGGCCGACCATAGATATCAGGTGTGCGTCGGCAGGGGATCGAACCTCGGACCATGTCCATGGTCGGCGAGAGTCCTAACCACTGTGCTACCGACGCATATATATATATATATATATATATATATATATAAAATTGCATCACTGATTTTGTTTGGCTACATGACAAAAATGTTTTATCTAGTGTGAATTACACTCACAAGAATGTTATTTCATTTGATCTATGGCTAACAGTAGAAATTAAGAGCCATGAATCGTTCTGTCTGTGACTCGTCAACAGCATGTATAGACAAGAAATGTTTTCAGATGGAATGCAAACTAGCGGACAATTATGTCCAAATCAGTCAGGACATGCTTCATTATTCAATGAATAGACAGCTTTACAGTAGGTAAGGATGGTCTTAAGAGTTATTATTCACAACGTTAGGACGAAAGTGTATTCTAACCCTGCTGACGACAATTCATCCTTTTTTTGTAAGGGAACTTTATTCATGCAAAAAAGCAGCCAACTTTGTCAATCTGTGAAACACTCTTAAAGTGATAAAAAGGATAGATGTTAATATAGTGCAAAAGATAAGAAAATTGAGATCATTGAAACGGAGGTGGTTCCATTTTTGCTTTACAGTATTCTAAAACCATCTTACTTAATAATATGCCTATCAGATTTACTTATTCTAAACCAAGCGCTAAAAGAGATCGCCAAAGAAGGATCCAAAGACTATGAGTGAGATTCAGACTCTGTCTCTGTCTCTCGTGATAGTCAACAAACAGAACTTGTTGCTGGAGTAACTGGTGGTGGTTATTTCTGTACTGCAAAAATAAAGTCTTTACAGATGTACATACTCCCTAGATTACCACAAGCTACTTCCGCAATATTTCAAGTTCTGAAGCCAAACAATATTGCATAAAGGTAATATTTCACTGAAATGCTTCGTTTACAAGTTTGAAACGCTGATAAACCTCGTTTCAACGTAAGTATCTGAATAAATGATAGATTATACAACCGTAAAGTAGCGCAATAAAATTTAAGCCATAAGTTTAATCCCGATATGCAGTTAAGCAGGATTGGTTTTATCTAGTAACAATTATACGAGCGCTTAACCACTGACTGAATATGTAGGAAATTAATAAATCATATGTCTATAAAACATTTTCCCACTTTTAACATGCTGCAGCTTTTTTCAGTGTTCTCACTTATAACTTGACTGGTTTCATCTAAAATTACTATTCATTGTACAGTGGATTAAAGCTAACTTGGATGATTTATGTAGAACTAATGTTCCCTGGTTCAATCTAACACGAGGAAAGCACTGAGGTAGAATGTTACCATTTGTGGAGCAAGAAATAAGGACATATCTATTCGGAGTGGAAATATAAATGGGGAATCAAAAGTGTAAGCAATTAATGCAAGTGATGCAAGTTATACACGTCGGATGCTTATGCCTTCAGGTGATCAATTTCAAATATCTGAAACTTTAATTCTAGATGTCATCGTGAATTCACATTAGAAATAAATCCAGTAACACGTTGTCTTTGCAAACGAATCATATGTTATAATGAGGGTGATGAATGAAGTTTCACTCCTTTATTGTTTTTTTTCTCCCCTATATTGTCTTCTATTCGATACGGATCAGTGACGTTTCTGACAGTTGATTTATGTTGTCATAATGTCACGCTTTGTGTTGATGACATCTGTCTGTAACTTCGGCAAAACAGTTTACTCGTTGTGTTTCTTAAACTTTACCCTGTTTCGTGCAGTAGAGAAATGCATCCATATAAGCAACAAATCATCTGAGTCACTGCAAAATCCCTCTTTTTCGTACATTCCCTAATGTACCAGAAAACTGCAGATAGGTATATTGTTTGCATGTGAAGTTCCCTAATAGTCCTACGTGCTAGTGCTCAGATATACTTATGATCTGTGCTATATTTTCAGTGTCATGCTGGGTATGATTCACTCAGTATCACATGGTATCATGTGTAACACGTACAAAGAATGATCAACTAATTTCAAGTCATGTAAAAATCTCATCAATCAAACTACTTTCGTGAAACAATTTGTACTGATGAAGAAGATATCCAAGAGGACATGGCATAGACCGTTAATCAGAACTTCAAACCGATGAATAAGTAGCTTGGACAATGAAAAAGTAAGGCAGAAACACCTTTCCTTTCAGATTTCTAATTTACAATGTGACGATTTGAAAAAAAGTTATAATTAACGGGTTATTCAGTGAATTCCAATCCAGTGACTGAATTGACAACCGACTTGCCTCGTAACTTAACCCCTGGTTGGATCATACATAGGTGGGCAATGTTGAAGAGTGTCAAACAAGGACAAAAGAGCTGTTTAGTGCTGGCTAGTTTCTAGAAAATACCTAACTGATGTCACTTTGTGATGAAGTCTACACTGGCATTTTGAATGTATTTAACTAAGTTGAATAACAAAACATGGTTTTTAAAAGCTTTTATTTTGTAATCTCCATTTATTGAATTTCCATTTGATACAGAGACATATCTGAACACTGACATACTTGAAATTTGAATAAAGCAAAATAAAATAAATAGGTAAACAAATATTTATTCAATAAAAACTTTATACATAACTAGATTGTTTTCGGTAGTGTTGCATTTGTTATATATTATTCGAATGGATTGATTGTTTATATATATATATATATATATTCACTTGTTGTTTTGTCAGTTTAGCAAGTCCATCTGGATATAAGAGTTAGGTAACAATTGACAATAAATCTTTAACTTTCAACGTATGTATAAATTAATAAATAAACAAATTAAGGTCTTAAGGAGAAAGACGGAAGGACAACTGAAGAGTGAGACAGCGAGAGAATGAAGGTGAAAAAAAGAGAGTTTATGAGGTAAACACAAAATGAAGTACACAACGAACAACTTCACCACTGGTAGTTGTTACACATACATAAACATGAAGACTTATATTACATAATATACTTGAATATTATTTGAAAGAACAGAGTTTTACGAAGAAGAAAACAACATCGGCAATTTCCAGTGTTGTTATTTGTTGTTGTTGTTGTCATTTGTATAATTTCGTTAATTTTCACTTGATAATGTGATAATTGAATAAAATAATAATTTGAGACAACAGATCCACAGTAGATAATTACATCTTGCTTGAAAAAGTGAAAATATATTAAACAGCAAGAAAAAAAACAAAAACATGTTTGTCATATCATCATCATCATGCATAGCCTCATTTAGGCTATAACTGTTTTATCACCAGCCCATGCTTCGCATGAATCAGTGAAATATGTGAATAATAAAATGAGTAAAGCAGTTAAAAATATACCACCAGGCCATAAAAGACTATGCATAAACATCGATGGTGTATACAACCGATGAAGGATAGCTGCAGCATCTTTTGGATCTGATGATATCAGAGGTAGATATCTACTAGATATCTTTGAATCGTTTAAATTATAATAGATATAAGACGAAGATGGAGGGGAAGTAGAAGAAGACGAAGACGTGGATGATGGTAAAGATGGAAATGATGAAGAGGATGATGATGATACTGAATGTTGACTTGTAGTTTGTATATTTGCGATTTGTGTACTGGTCATTGGTGTTTTTGGACGAGCATAACAGTGAAATATATGACGACGACTTAAATCACGTTTGAATTCTTCAACAGCTAATTTATTATCCTCTTCACGTCTATGACAAGGACTTGTTGAACACTAACATTTAAAAAAAGAAAGAGAAAGAAAGGATGTTAAGTGTCGGCTTGAATGGATTTAACAGATTTCACTTGAGAGAACCATGGAAATCAGGGAGTATTAGACAGGTATTTCGTCCTAGTTCACAAATTTTCAGGAAAACACGCTGAGAGCTGATGACTCAGAGCTTGACTGCTGATGGGATTTAAGGCGTGCACTACTGAAAAGTCCCTAACTAGGACGAAGTGTCTATCAAGTAGTGCTCAGTTCTCAGCTGACTAATGAGGGTTTGTAGAGACAGCTACCTTGAAATAATTAACAAGATAGAATAGATACTTATACACACCTGTCAGGAAATCGTAGCTTTTATCGATATCAAGCGTGTGAGTAGATGTAATAACTGAAATATGGCTGCTAGCTTAAGGATAATAAAATAGAATTGGTTATGGGGAGCGGGTACAGTCCTAAGGACCAATCTAGTACAGTGAAAAGAGGAAACCAATACTGAATCTTAGTTCCTCTAATTGACACTCAGTGTATAAAGAGAAAATGCATAGTACTTATTTGAGCGATTTGTTGAATTTCATAACAACTGAAATAGAAACATGAATTCTCTCAGCGTTACAGATAGATCTTTCTGGAGAGATTCAATACTCACAAAACCTGTGTTGTGTTTTCGTTGCTTTCCTCTGGGTTTTCACACCTTATTCCACAGCTTATATAACTGTTCTGTTGGAAATTTATGAAAATGTACTGAGTGTTTGCTTACATTTTAGTTTCGGTCTGCCAAGTGATGATCACACATGCATTTTATGGCATTCCCAAGCATACGTTCTACTTCTGACATAAGTCTGCCATTGGACAAGATAATTCTACAGTGGGCCTTCCGTATGATTAACACTGACATTATGAATAAGCAGTACATAAACAGCTGAAAGAATGAAGGTTGATAATGCAAAAGAAGAGGCGAAATCGACAGTACATGTTTAAATAATTTCATCAGACATCAGTTAGCATATTGGATTACACTAAATGGCAAATCATCTTACCATATTCTACAGCACTTTAAAATGAATTAAATAAGGAGACAGATGAGATGATTAACTGGGTTACCCATGCAATATAACGAGTGGTATATGCTAATGAAAAGACCCTTCAATTTGAATAATCATTACATTAATGAAAATCTATCCATCATTTCATTCTGTTGCGTGAGAATTAAAAACCTAGGTGCTTAAAACCTCACCGGAAGACGGGCACAAAATACATGTAATAGCTTGCAAGTTCCCTGTCAGCTTCATCTACCCACTCTGTTATACCTATGTTCCGGCATTCAGTGAAGCGTTTCTTTCACACCACCACCAAATGAATAAAGACAATTCTAACGCAATTGTTTTTGGACTGAAATCAGTCAGAGAACAGTCAAAAATCACGGTTGCTTTGTTTATGAAATGAATTTACGAATGTTGTGTCAGCTGTGTAAGCACACTATGGTTCAGAGACTGGGTAAGCCAAAGTGGATTCACGATACATCCAGGCTATCATTTAGTGCTCTCACACTTGGGCTTCACCTTAGAACAGATAGTGATGCAGGAGGGTGCTGTAGAAAAGTTCCAGATATAAAGGGGAACAGTTGTTTTGTGCTATTTCTGATAACATTCTACAAATAAACAAATGAAAGAAACCCTTGTCTACTTTAAATACTGCAGCGTGCTTGAATCACTAGGCTACCATTCAATTATATCTGTGGATCGCCAACTGTTCTCATGCACATTTTTAATTCATTTCCAACCTACAGCTGCACATTACTCGGCGATGAAAGAAAAATACCATGAGGGATTATTTTATTCTTCACATCGAACAGCACTGCATCACATGATATATTATAGATTGCTATTTTCCCTAAAGATCCTGAATGAAGAGAAACTATAGTGCAGTTAACTACTCTGGAAATCCTGTTTACTGTGCACACTTTTGGTGCCGAATAAAGCTGTTAGTTAAAAGACAAAACAGTTCCAACAGTGGTGTGAACACGGGCAGTAATTTTGCTCGAAATATTACCAATAACAAAACTTATTATTGGGTGTAAACCATTGAAATATAATTATACTTTATTTAAAGCTGTTAATAATAATAGTATACTTCTTTGACTAAATCTTTTCCTTTCATTGGCTGGAGGATTTCATCATGAGCTGACACCAGTTAGAGAACCTGCGGGGAGTAGTGGACAGCTCTTTCATCCTAGTTAGAGACTCTTCAGCACTACTCACCCACCGGAGTTCAGACCCAGTACCTCCTGGTTACAAGGCGAGCTCGTAGACCAATAAGCCGCTGGGACCCGACTCAAGAGATAACTTCAGTTAGGGAACTGCTGAGAAGAAGGAAGAAGTCGACAGTTGTTTCATTCCTTGTTTCAGAACGCATCCACAACCTCACCAGAGATCGAATCCTGGAACTTCAGGTTGCAAGTAGAACTCAAATGTTATTCAGCCAGTGGGATCGAATCCAAATGGCACATCAATTCTAACTTCGACCAGTCTGTGATCTAGCACGACCGCCAGTCGATGTAATCGGTGAACATCTGCCCTCGAACCCAATTTGGTGGATCCCACTAGAACTTTAGGCAACTTTATGCTGTAGTGGACGACTGATGAGTGATACATTAAAATTTTCAAGTGTTGATTTGCGAACCCGGCTGGTTTACAATGGTTCTCTAACTGAAGTCAGTTCATTGATCGAAATTGAAATCAATCAAATCCCAGTGAATCAACACACTTTTTAAACAGACTGATTTACAAGCGAAGACATCGGTTTCAATGATTTAGGTAGACTGCATAAAATCACATGACAAAATTATAAAAGTCAACTAAAAAGTAAGAATGTTACTGCATGTGTAGGAATGCATAAATGCAGATGTACACACACACACTATATACATTATATATATATATATATATATATATATATATATATATATATATATATATATATATATATATATATGTACATTAATCAATATTATTTTGTATATGAACAAGCCACTTATTTTGTAACAATGAGTAAGACGAGAAAAATATTGCTATTCAGTAAAGTTTGTTTTCTGCTTGTACATTCTACCAATAATCAATAATACTTATTTCTATTCTGTTTTGCTTTTCACCTGCTTCATCAATAATATTCTGCATATGATTTAGATTAAGAATTAATATTTTTTCTCAAACAGAAATATTTAACGCAAGTAAACGCTAGATGTCGGTGAAACTTAATACATCTGCCTGGTGTAAATGTATGTTTCGTAAAGATAGAAGTTTAAAAGTTGAGAAAACAATCGAGAAATCTGCAAACACTATTTGCTTTGAACTAATTAAGTATATGTATGCATATATTTGTGCATGAAGAACAAACACACTGACGCACTGATCTTCCTTTTGTTTCAAGACCAGTCACTCAAAGACGACAGAATTAAATATAAGCAAATATTATATAGCTTATTATCAATTTATTGACCTTTTTATACCTTCATTCCATAAGGTAACTGAAGTGGAAAGCCGAGTCATGAAAACAAAATTCACCAACCGAAAAGCTGGATGACGTTTATTTGTATGCAGATTTTCACTCGAATTTCAATAATCATACTTAGTAAATTACATTATTCCAGTTATTATAGTTGTTTCCTGTGAATTGTAATAATAGTACTACTATTTTCATTCGAGTTGACCAGCCTACCACTATTTATGACAGCAGTACACGTTAGCATTTGGTAGAGGATTATTTATAGACTGAGTGATGTACAGTTATGGCAAAATGCCTAAACCTTACGTTGAAATCTCTGCTTCTTTCGTTTTCCTTTCTCACTTTTCGTGTTGTTAAGCAAGGATCTCTGTCTTATCCCCATTCGCAATAAAATCTATCACTCTGCTATCCAGACATCACACACAATATACTACTTACAAACTCTTGTTAGTAATACACTGTGCACAGTAACTACCAGGCTTGCAACTATTATTATTCACCATGTTTCTGTAGGTTAAATACTGTCACAGTGTATGTGCATATGTTAATCAATACAAAAACATGCGAACAATCTTTAACTAATGTCATAATAAGTAATAAATGTTTTTTGTGCAACTTTACAATTGATTTATTTATTCATACAGAGCATATTGTCTATGAAATACTTTTGTTTTAAAACAAAAGCGTGTACATTCTGTGTTTGTTTTTTTCCGTTGTCAATCAGTTGGAAGGAGAATAAAACTGCCGTAGAAAGTTGCTAATTCTTTTTATTTGTGTTATCTCGAATAGAAAGAAACTGGTGATCTTGGTTCTTGTATTTCGACCCACTGCTAGTTTGAATATTCTGGGTGCGACTTCTGCTAGGGTCATGGAAATGTGCCGTTGAATATTTGCAAACTAAGTGTGAATGAAACATATATCTAGTGCTCCAGGGTTTTCAGATGATTCTCTAACTCAATAATTTAATAATTTCCATTGTAGCATTAAGAACACAATATTCAGCAAAGAGATTCTTTTCAAAGAATTTATTATCAAGCTGTACAATTGTATATATATATATATATATATATATATGGTTTTTTAAGAAGTTATATTGTCTGAAATAAGGCTTTATTGTTATTCATTTCCAAACGCTTCCTCCTTCTCTAACTTCTAATTCTGTTATTTGTATGTGAAGGTTTTAAAAAAAATTAGTTTCGACCTGCTTTATTTGTTGAAATATTTGTTGTTTGGATAAAGAGGCATTAATCGTCTACACACACACTTATCAACACGTCGCAATTACGTATGTTTTAAGGGTTGTTCAAACTTATCTAAATGCAACCGTGTTTAAAACAATAGTTACGACTGCCTAGTTAAACGTTTAGAATGACAATGAATGAGGCACAACCGCCTACATAAAATTCGATGCGGATTAATAAATCCTCACATGTAGGGTATATTAAGTATTTTACAAGTACCGAAATAAATCCGGTCTTGAGATATATAGTATAGAAAATTGATGGTTC